CCTAGACGTTGTAAAAAAATGATTCATTCGGAATCGAAATATGGCCTTATTTGCAGCATGAATTCGAAAAATAAGTTTATTTTGAATTTTAATAAACTAAACGTTCACCAAAAAACTTTAGTGAGAAAAATCGAAAAAACGAACTACAAACATATTAACGCCAAACATTCGGTAGAATTTATAGAATATTGTAAATATATATATGATTTATGTTTGTCTATATATTTATGTATAAACATAGATATAATATATATAAGCATATGTACGTATGTATATATTGATATATAATATAATACTACTAACTGTGCTACTACTACTGCTGCTGCTTCTACTACTACTACTGCTGCTGCTACTACTACTACTACTACTACTACTACTACTACTACTACTACTACTACTATTACTACTACTACTACTACTACTACTACTACTACTACTACTACTACTATTACTACTACTACTGCTACTACTATTACTATTTATTTATTTATTTTTGGTTTAATACATTCATAGGCAGCGTTTTTTTTCCAACTTTCAAAGCGAGCGTTAACACGTCAAAACTGATTGAAAAAATGTCGAATGATCTTATGTCTTATCTGGTGGCATTATGAACAATAATAATAATAACATTTTTATTACTCTCACTGGTTATTATTATTTATACTATTATAATTTATTTATACCATTATATTATATTATTATTATTATTATTATTATTATACTATTAGTTGTAATATCAATGTTAATTTTATAAGTTTTTTTTGTTTCAACGATAATTATTTTATTTATGTTCATATTTTTTTTTTTATAGACGATCCTTTCTCTATATTTTTTTATCATCATCAATTAATGATTGTAATATGTTTGTTTGTGTTTTGGTGCGCGTATATAAGTGGTTATGTGTTGTGTGTGTGTGCGTGTGTGTGTGTGCGCGTGTGTGTGTGTGTGTAAATATTTTTTTCATCAAAGTATAAGACGGGTGCTATTGTTAGAATAATTTTTTTATCATGTCGTAATGAACGACTGAATATGAGTGAATGAGTGAATAAATGGATAAATAAAAAAATGGATGAATGGATCAATAAATGAATGAATGAATGAATATGTGACTGAGTGAAATGTTTGAGGTTGTTCGATTGAGCGACTGGTTGGTTGGCTGGTTGGTTGGCTGGTTGGTTGGTTGACTGGTTGGTTGGTTGACTGGTTGGTTGGTTGGTTGGTTGGTTGGTTGGTTGGTTGGTTGGTTGGTTAGTTGGTTGAATGTTGGTTGCCTGGCTGGTTGGTTGGTTGGTGGGTTGATATATTGCATTTTCATTCTAATAAATATTTTCTATGTATGTTGGTTGACATATAGCATTTTCATTCTAATAGATGTTTTCTATGTAGCAATGGATTTTCAAAGTTTGTTCATAATATTTTTCCTTTAATACTAATACCTCAATAATAATAATAACAAACGAAAACAATAATAATAATAATAATAAATAATGATAATACTAATGAAAAATTCTGAAAAATAACATTTAAAAAAAGTTGTTGTGTCTCAATTAAAAGCATTTTTATGAATTTATGGAAAATTTTTGGAAAAAACTTGTGTTCCCTTATCTCTAACTAACATATAACCTATAGTTATATATTTAAACAAACAACATCATTTAACAAAAAAATCAATATATTTTGTCTTAGTAAAATTTAATAAATGATTATTTCAATTAAATATGATTTTGATAAAAAATTTAAAAAAAAAAACCAAAAATACGAACGCGCCCACACCTGAAACTTTTTTCCGTTGCGTATTTTTAGTTTGTTTCTTATTTACATACGGCAGCCGAATTTTTAAATGGCGGCTTTGATTTAAATTTTTCAAATGAGATTCTGATTAAATTGTCAATTTAATCACAAAATAATGAATTACTCTATCGTTACCGCGTTATTTTGTCTGATCTGCCATTCTTACAATAATTCACCCTTTTTGGCGGCCGCCCAGAAAGCTAGAAGCAGTAGTAGTAGTAGACTCTGCGGCCATGAAGAGGTTGAGCTGACAGACGAAAATTGGAGACAAACTTTGAGCGGGAAATGGATGATCAAATTGTTGGCCAGCATTTATTACTTCATATTTTGTTGTAACTTTTTTGTTAAATAGTTGTTTAAATATTTCTTATTTATTCCAGGTTCAGTTGTTATTCATATCATCATTAATTATTTATTTATATTTTATTCATGCATCCTTTCATCCATTCTTTTATTCCTTCAATTTAAGTCAATGTTCATTCATTCATTCATTCACTCACCAATTGAATCAATTGTTGTTCATATGTAATACTTAATCATCTATTTTTATTCAATGTTCAGTATTCACCCGTCTATTCTTTCATTCTTTCCTTCATACATTCATTCACTCATCCAGTTATGCCCCCTGGTGCCCTGCCTGTCAATCAATGGATGAGGATTGGGTGAAATTAGCTAGGAAGTTGAGACACCATGGTTATTGTGTGGGCTCGGCCAATGTCGCTGAAAATGCCGGTTAATATTTATTTTATTATAATTGATTCATCATAATTATTTGTTATTATTCATGTTATTATTACTTATTATTATTTTTAATTATTATTAAAATTATTTATTTTCAATAGGCTTGAGTGGTCGATTCCTTGTTACTTCATTACCAACTGTTTATCAGTTCGTTGTTTTGTTTTTTCAACATTTTTTTAATTTAAATAAATTTATTTCTTTTAAATTGAATAATTTTTATTATTTTTTAATTTTATTTAATGTTATTCATATTGTTAATATATCTTTGTTAAATATATATATCTATTGCTTTTACATCTATTGGTTTATATTTGAAATTAATATATCACTGCTTATATATTTATTATTTTTATTTAAAATTAAGATATCTATGCTTTCTATGACAGCGCGATAGATGGGAAATTTCGACTCTACGATGGAGTTAGAGCTACGGACGAGTTTGAAAAGTTCATCGTCGAATCCAAATGGTCCGACGTCGAGCCAGTAGCTTGGTACCTATCACCTACTTCCTATCAGTTAGTGTTTTTTATCGTTTCTATCATTTTTTTGTCATTCATTCAGTCATCCATTCTTTCATTCAAACATTCATCTTTGGCTGGTTAGCTAGCTGACTGTCTGACTAAATGACAGATCGACTGACTTTTATTCATCCATTCATTTTTTCTTTCAGTTTATCATTTATTTAGTCATTCATTCTCTCATTTGTCCAGTCATTCATCCAATCAATCAATCAATCACTCAATCATTCATTCATTTCTTTCCAATCCATCATTCAGCATGGCTACTCTTGGTAGCTTCTTTACATTCTCCATGTTCCTCAAGGTTAGTTGATGATGATGATGATGATAACGACGATGGTGATGATGACGATGATGAAGAGGACGACGATGATGATGAAAATGATGATGACGACGACGATGATATTTATTCTAAACAGGATGTACATGTCATGCTGACTGATGATTTCGGCCTTCCGAACTACCTCTCCTATGCTATGTTTGCCATCGTCACCATTCTCATTGGCCTAATTATTGGACTGGTCAGTGATGATGATGATGATGACGATCCTTGATGATGATGATAATAGTGATTGATGATGATGTTGTTGATGATGATAGTGATGGTGATTGATGATGATGGTGATAATAATAGTGATTGATGATGATGGTGATAATAATAGTGATTGATGATGGATGATGATGATGGTGATCGACGATGATGGTAATAGTAATGGATGATGATGATCGATGATGATGATGATAGTGATGGTGATTGATGATGAGGATGATGGTGATAGTAATAGTGATTGATGATGGATGATGATGATGATGGTGATTGACGATGATGGTAATAGTGATTGAGGATGATGATGTTGGTGATGATGATAGTAATGGTGATTGATGATTATGATGATGATGGTAATGGTGATTGATGATGGTGATGGTCATAGTAATAGTGATTGATGATGATGATGTTGGTTATGGGGATTGATGATGATAATAATAATTAATAATAATAATAACACTGATAGTGAGAAATGATAATTTATTTACAGCTGTTGGTTTTCTGCTGTGATATCGTGTTCAGCCAGTCGTCTGTCGATAAGGCTGCCAGTACTAGAGCTCTCCACAAGAAATATGTTAGTAGTTTGTTTAGTGGATGGATGGAAGGATGAATGAATGAATGAGTGAATGAATGAGTGAATGAGCTAGTGATTGTGTGAATGGATGTACATTTGAATTATAAGAAAAATGTGAGTTTGTTGAGTGGAATGAATAAATGAATGAATGAATGAGTGTATGAATGAATGGACGAATGAATGAATAACTGAATGACTGATTGCAGGAGTGATTGTTTGAAGGAATAAATTACAAATTAAATGAATAAAATACAGGACGACAGAGAAATTTCACCTGACGTCATCGCTGAAGATGATGAGGGGGACATTGACGCCATGAACGTCGACGATGAGGAGGAGGAGGATGGCGTAGACGATGACGTAGACGATGACGATGCGGGCGGTGGCGACGATGTCGGTGACAAGACTTCTGACGACGCTGCTGCTACTGCTGCTGTAGCAGCCGCGGCTGATGACGATTACGATGCTGGTGGCGGCGATATTGACGACGACAGAAATGCGGCCGTTGATGTTGGTGATGGTGATGAAGAGGATGATGATGATGATGGCGAGAGTGGGGATTTTGAGGGAAGGGGTAAAAGGGGAAAGAAGATGAAAAAGAAACCCGCCAAGGCTAATTAGTTAGGTATAATGGTGATGTTGTTGTTGTTACTCTAATTAGTGGTCTTTTTGAATGTGCTAATTTGCTGTGATGGTGGTGTTGTTGGGGATACTAATCAGTGAAGGTGATTTCTATGCTGGTGATGTTATTAAAGTCTGTGTTTGGTGATGATTATGATGATGATGATGATGATGATGATGATGATAGGATATTATCCTGATGATGATGATGATGATAGGATATTATCCTGATGATGATGATATGATATTATCATGATGATTATATGATATTATCATGATGGTGATGATAGGACATTATCCTGATGATGATAATGGATAGTGATTGGTGATGATGATGATGATAT